TTCCTTCCTTCCTTCCTTCCTTCCTTCCTTCCTTCCTTCCTTTCTTTCTTTCTTTCTTTCTTTCTTTCTTTCTTTCTTTCTTTCTTTCTTTCTGTATGTCCTACTTTCCTGATTCTCATGTCTGGTTGGAGGCTGCCCAGCTTCTGGCCCCAGGAGGGTCCCTCTCTTTCTCTCCCGTCAAGCCTAGATTTCTCCTCCTACTTTGTCTGTCTGCCTGTCAGCCCCACCTGTCCCTCTCCTGCCTTGCTATTGGCCATTCAGCTTTTTATTAGACCAGTGAGGTGCCTTAGGCAGGCAAGGTGAAACAGCAATACATCTTTACATAATTAAACACATATTCTTACATCATTAAACAAATGCAGCATAAACAAATGTAACACATCTTCACATAGTTAATATTCCACAGCAATGTAACGCTTCCTTGCTTAGTCAAAACAATATTCCACAAAAATTCCTTATCACCAAATGAGCAGAGATGTGCTGTTATGGTCCCTTCCACATTTCAGGGCTAACCTGGAAAAGTCTAAGTTTACAACTTAGATAAATTAGAGTATTGTTTCACTTAATGGAATTCTTCAGTTTTCAAAGGCATGCCAGTTGAATTATCTTAAAAAGCAAATCATCTTAGTGTGAGCCATGGCTTACTGCAACATTAACTTCAACAGTTCAGGGACACCAGTACTAAGTAAAAAGTAGGCAGTCATATTAAGATTTGTCGGTTTTGCCTCGGTGAGTCTTTCTTGACATACAGGAAGTGGCCATACCTGCTAAGATTTTAGAGATAGTGCTGAAATTCTCAGCCTCAAGAAAAAGCAAAATATCGAATAAAATAGCCCTGGTGACTTCAGAGACTTGCAGGTCCTAGAAGCAAGTATCTCCGGTGTGCCTAAAACTACCATTGCACTCAGGTAGTTCACTTCAGTGTGAATTTAAATAGCGGTTCTGGGGACTCTCTGCTGAGGGGAGGAATTGGAAGCCTCTACGATGGAAGCCCAGGTGTGTGTGTGTGTGTGTGTGTGTGTGTGTGTGTAGGGATGTGTGTATTGTATATATGTACGAGCGCGCGCGCGTTAGAGGCAACGTGGACAGGAACCTGTGGGAACGCGCTATCTGCTTCCTCATACATAGTGCCTGGCACAGGGGAGCCCACATGAATGATTTTGGTGCAATATACATGCAAGCCGGGGTTGGGAGGTGGAGACTTGCTTAAGACAAAGTTAGTGCCCTAGCGGCCCCCTCCTCAACAACATCTGGGAATACAACCATTCCTAGGAGACAGTTGGTGCATAGTATCAGGAAGAGATGCTGATTGCGTTAGAGAAAACAGGAGCCTCATCGCTGAGGTCACGTCAAATCTTTAGGTCAACAGGCAGCACTTTTGCCGTTTGCGCTCTCTCAGGGACCGCGGAGCAGCGGGATCCTTGACTTTAACGGATTTACAAATGGCTTAGCACCTCTCAGGTGAACGCTGGGAACTTTGCATCAGTAGACAGTGAGGGGAAGAGGTGGCTCCCATTAGCAGGGCCCCTCTCCTAGGGGGATGGTCGCCGCCAACTTTGCAGAGCTGGACCATGCACACACAGCTTTTCAGAGCACGTGACAGATTTGCGGAGGGTAGCCCGGGGATCACTTTTCTGGCGGGCAGCTTCGTAGAGCCCGAGGCCGGCCAGTTCTGTAGGGAGCGCACTACCGGGCGCTCAGTGCTGCGGCAGGGGTCGCCCAAACCTCACAGAGGGCGGGATGATGCACGTGGCGCCTCCGGGCGGTTTGCAGCCCGTGCCGCCAAAAATCAGGCGGTGACCCGGGGCAGCCTGCACGGGCGGAAAGGGCTTCCCCCACGGCGCGCTCCGCAGGGCGCGCTCTCCCGTGCGCAGCCAGCTTTCCCGGGGCTTACGCGCCGCCCCGCCCGGCCCGTGTCTGCCCCTCCCGCTCCTCCCCCTCGGGCTCCGGGACTTTTGCTTTCACTTTTCCTAACGCTGTCCTACACCCTCGCGGAGGATCGGACGCCACCGTCGGCTCCCGCCGGCCACCGTGGGAACGGTAACTTGGGCCCCGGTCGCGGCTTTCCCGCCCCTCTTCCGCGTGCTTCCTCCTCCCGCGCGTCCCCGCCCCGGGTCCCCCTCCCTCCCGCAGGCTCGCACAGCAGGGCAGGCTGAGGCTGGGGCTCTCCACGCCCCTCCATCGCTGGCTTTGCTCGGCTTGGGCCTCCCTTGGCCTCCTAGCCCATCCGGTGCCATTCCGGATGTAACGGGAAGGAAGAACGGGTGCAGGGCAGTGGATATTGTTGTTTTGGCCTCGTCAGACCGGCCGGGCCGCTTAGGCGCCTGGTCTGTTCAATGGGAACCTTGGGCGGACCTGGCTGACTTGTGCCCTGGGAAGGAGGGAGTCAGGGTGCGCAGGTCTTTGACCAGAGCAAAGTGTGCTTGAAAGTGTGCGTGAACTATGCTTCCTTGTTGGGGGACCCTTGCATCAGGGCTCTGGCAGGCGACGACGCTGGGCGGTGTGGGCTCCAGGCGACACCTGCCTTCACTCCCTGAGCTTGCCTGTTATGGGAAAGTAAGTCTACTTGTAGGTGCAGGTGGCGATGCTGGAGTAGATCTCGGGTCCTGCTCTGGAACCCGGCTCACTGGTGAGGCCCCGATTTTCTATTTACAGGCTGTGTCTTCAGAGTTTGGCCAGCCTGACCTTACACCCCCTCCATGCTGCTAAGACCTAACTTTATAAGCTGCCACCCTGCGGCCTTCTGCAGGATGTGGGCAAAGGCCGGTTACTTAGCCGTGTGAACCTTAGGTGACACTGGTGTGGAGGTGGCAGCCTCAGGACTTTGAGCGCTTAGGGAAGACTATATATGGGCAGGAGGTGAGTATGTATGATACCACTGTGCTAGGAAAGCAGGCACAGCTAGTCTGTTTCCTCACGAAAATGAAGTTCAGGCAGTATCCTGACCCACCTCGGCACGATTTGCTTCGGCATGTCTAGTCTGCTTTCTGTTGCTGTGATAAATACCACGGCCAAGATAGGAAAAGGTTTTTATTTCACCTGACTATTCCAGGTCACAGCCCATCACTGAGGGAAATCTGGGCAGGAACCTGGAGGCAGGAAAACTGTGTCTCACTCACTCAGCCAGCTTTCTTACACAGCCCAGACCCAGCTGCCCACAGATGGTGCCACCCCCAGCGGATGGTGCCACCACCAGCGGGCTGGGCCTTCCAGTCAAGACCAATCCCCCACAGAGATGACCGCAGGCCAGTCTGATCTGGGCACCTCCTCAACAGAGGCTTCCTCTTCCTGGGTAACTCTAGGTGATGTCACGTAGACAATAAAAAACTAGCCAGGGAGATGGCCGCCCACAGGCCAAAGTGCCTGCAAGTAGGAGCAGCCACATTGTAGGACAGGAATTTGGAGTAGCTGGGGAGTGGCTGGACGTATTGTTTTCTAAGCAACCTCTTGTGAACTAACACAGGGCCCCGTAAGCTTCCATGAGCAGCACCCTGGTGGCTTCCTGCTGGAGCCCATCTCTTAAGTCTCACCATCTCTTAGCATCATGTAGGGGACTAGTCTTCCGCCACAGGACGCTGAGGGACCAACTACACCCAAACCATGACAGCGGGCGTCACACATTGTAAGTCATTGAAAAGAGACATTTCATGTCTCTTGACAGTGGGCAAGCAATGTTGCTGTAATGACCGCTCTTTGCAGCTCCTGAGAAAAGGGGCAGATACAAGAAAAGTATTGCTGGGAAGACCCCCCGGGGCAGCACAGTAGAGCCAAGGTGAGGAGGCTTTCAGGAGGGCTTGAGGAAAAAGCCAGGAGTCAAAGTCAAGAGTTGGCCTCACCGTGGGGATAAGGAAGCTACGGAGTGCTTAGCCGTGCAGACTGGAGTCCCAAGTCCACGGCTGCTGATGTAGGTTGTTAGCAGGAAAGCTGAAGACTTAGATTTTTGGCTCATGGTTTGGGGAACGTCAGTGTCTGGTCTGCTTGCCCTGTTGCTGCGGGCCTGTGGCAAGGCTGAGCATCCAGCTGATGAGAGTGAAGTCGATCACTTCCCAGCAGCCTGGGAGATGCTTTAGGCCTTATCTCAGTCACAGTTCTGTTGCCATGAAGAGACCACGCTGCGGCAACTCTTACAAAGGAAAGCATTTAATTGAGGCCTGGCGTATAGTTCAGAGGTTTGGTCCATTGTCATCATGTCAGGGAGCATGGTGGCACTCAGGCAGACATGGTGCTGGAGAGGCAGCTGAGGGTTCTACATCTGGACTGCAGGCAGCTGGAGAAGAGTGAGACACTGGGCCTGGCTTGAGCACTCCAAGCCCACCGGCCCACCCCAACCCCCACCCTCCACACCCCCACACCCCCACCCCCGTGACACACTTCCTTCAGCAAGGCCACCCCTGCTCCAGCCAGACCACACCTCGTGATTGTACCACTCCCTAGGAGCCTATGGGGGCCATTTTTATGCAAACCACCACCGGCCTCCAACAGAAGGTGTGGGCATTGTGAAGAAGACGTGGAAGGAAGTGGCTGAATCTAGTTAGTGCTGACCATTTGCACACGCGTGTGAGGCCGTCCGATGGGGCGGAGTCTGTCCCTCAGGTCAGCTGACTCTCCCTCCCTAGCAGTCGGTAGCTCCTCAGCTAGGAGTGGGTCCCTTCTCAGGTCTTCAGGCCTGTTTGTGAGCTTTCTGCTGTGCGTGTAACAAATACCTGCAGTGATCAGTTAGACGTAGTTTGCTCTGGCTCACCACCTTGGAGGCTCCAGCCCATGATTAACTGGGCTTGTTGCTGTGGGACCTGTGCAGACGTCCCACATCCTGGTACATATTGGTCAGTTTTTCCTCAGTGACCAGTACCTCAGAGGACTCCTTAAAGAGAGCCTCCCTTTAGAGCAGTGGTTCGCAGCCTTCCTAATGCTGCCACCCTGGAATACAGTTCCTCATGTTGTGGTAACCCCAACCACAAAATTATCTCATTATACTTCACAACTGTAATGTTGCTACTCTTAGGAATTGTAATATTAAATATCTGATATGCAGGATATCTGATATGCAACCCAAAGGGGTCGTGACCCCCAGGTCGAGAACCACTGCTTCGGAGTGGTTTTGGCTCCTGGCTGAGAAGTCCCAGCCCACATGAGGCAGAGCAACAGGGCTGTTGATTCAGTGAAGCTGCTTTCCTTGTGGGGGCCGGAAAGCAGAGAGAAGGTAGCAGGGAGGGTCCAGGCGCACACCGCCCTTCAGGGAACAGTCCCAATGGTCCGTTTCCTCCAGCAAGGCCCCCTCAGGGAGCTTCCATCTCCCCTCCAGCCGGAGACGAAGCCTGCATTCACCTCAGGGCTCTGTTGGAGGGGGCATTTCATTTTGAAGTCCTAACAGCGGGGTATTCGCTTCATGGCTTGGAAGTCAAAAGGAAGAGGAAGTGGGTCTCCTGATTTCTTCTGATGACCCATGAGTGACTAGAAGACTTCCCATGAGGCCTCACTTTGGGTCCCAGTGCTTCCTCCTAGCAGCAGGATGCTCGGGACCTTTAAGGGAAAGGGATACCAGATCCAACCAAACCAACCACATCTTTTGTGCATTTTTAAAAATTGAGTTAGTTTTTGCTGTTTTCCTTCTGATTTTGGGCATTAGCCACATAACAAAGAATACATTTTCTTCATCCCTCCATTGCTGTTAAAATGTCTTATTTAGCGCTGTCCTTCTAGGGCAGGTGATGGGAACACAAAACTGCCCTCTTAGGCCCTCTGCTGTGTACACTTTGGAGAATTTGATGGAATCCCTGTAGACACCTACACTTCCAGGCTGTGCTCTGGTCTGTGGTGGGTGGGCAAAGTTGTCGTTTCTAGGGCAGGATGAGAGCTGGAACCTCCTGTAGTCACAAGGACGTCCTCCCTCTCCCTCACCCTCCCCTCTTTCCTACTCCTCCCTCTCTTTTATGGATCTTAGGTTTAACTTTTAAGATTAAACTTGGCAGAAGAGTCAAGGCTTAAGACCACGTTGAAGGTAGTGTCTTTTTCTGGTGGGTTTTTACAGAACTTTGACTTGTTAATTTTGAAGATACTCAAACATGTGCCTTGCTGATGATGGTGCACTTGAAGTGTTAAGGAAGTCGGTGTGAAGATGACCGGAAACTGCTGAGTATCTTCTGAATGTCCTACCTCCTCTGATGGCATAATCTCTTAAGAAACATTTGGGGTCCTCATCTGAAAGATTGTGTCCTGACCAGAAACCCGTTGGTCCTGTAGTGGGGAGGCTTGTGATGTGCAAAGAGAGAGGGTGGCCATCTGATTTCTTCTGGCCATGGTGGGTGTGTCCAGGGTTCCTTCTCCACTGCCCGGAAGCCAAGCCAAGCCTCTCCTCTCCCCTCCCCTCCCTTCCCCTCCTCCTCTCCTCCCTTCTGTCCGCTGTCTGTGTCCTCCTGTCTCTCTGTCATTTCCTGAAATGACATCATAGTGACATTTCAGAGCTGAAGTCCACAAAGCTGTTGCTTGGCCTCCATGGAACCCTCTCTAGGCTGGATCTCCATCTCCAGACGCCACTTGTCACAGCCTGGGACAGAAGATACTCTGTAAAACAGATATGACCACCTTCTTTATATAAAAACACCTTCTTTTCCTACCAGGTGGACACATCCCTAGGCCAGCCCTGACAGGTGTGCACACACTTCCCCTGAAGGCTGAGGCTTTCTGCTGAACATGCTTAGGTCTGAGACCAGATAAAATCTGAAGTTTACCGGTTTCCTTTGCTTGCTGAAAGTGAATCCCTTATCTTTTCTTGCAGAATGAAACAGGGTTTGATTTGTGAACAGTGATTCCAATATGGACGCTCCCTGGACCTGCTGCATCTTGTTTAGCTAATTCTCTTCCCATGGGGGTGTTCATTTCTTCCAGCCTTCCACTGAATTAATATTTATTTAATAAGCACCTTCTGTGTGCCAGATGCCTCTACCACAATGAGTTTATATTGTCCTGCGGGAGCCAAGCAATTAGCAGACACAAATAAATGACGAGAACAAGAGCCAAGTAGGCAGTGAGCGTGGGATAAACAGCCAGGTAGTAAACATGTGTCTGCTCACAGAGAGAGAGCAAGCAGAGACAGTACATAAATGAACAGACTTTACTCCTGTCAACGAGTGGGTCAGTCTACTGACGCCTGCCCTAGCTTGTGAAGGGCCTTAAAATCCAAGGAGATGAATTTAAAAATGAATTTTTAAATAATGAGGCTCACTTGAAGATGTGTGTGTGTGTGCATGTGTGAATATAGGGTCTTCTCTCATTGGCCTGGAACTACGGGTTCAGCTAGGCCACATGTCTGCATCCCTGGGGCTGGGGTTACAAGTGCATTCCACCGTGCTGGGATCGGACTCAGCTCCTCATCCTTGCACCTTACTGAGCTATCCCCTTCGGCCTCTTGAAGATTCTTTTTTGTTTTTAATTTATTTTTATTTTATGTGCGTTAGTGTTTTACTTACATGTATGTCTGTATGTCAGAAGCCCTGGAACTGGAGTTACAGACAGATGGGTGCTAGGAATTGAACCTGGGTCCTCTGGAAGAATAGCCAGTGCTCTCAACCGATGAGCCAGCTCTCCAGCCCTCTTGAAGATCCTTGAGCAGAAAAATCATTCAGTGGAAATCCACTTGGGTAGATCATGTAAAGCCACCCGTAGTGAAGAGAGCTCTGTGCCTCAGAGTTAGTACTGTCTTTGAGGTGTGCTGAGTGACCTGTCAGGGATTTAGGGGGGCTTCTTGATTGTTGTGAACCGTGACAGACTTTCCACAGCTTAGTGTATACACCAGACGTTTAGCACAGCCACGGGTGCTGGAGTAGAAGCTGTGAGGTCAAGGGCTTCGGTTACTTGGTCTCTGGAGGGAGGCCTGCCATACACTTGGCACTGGTGTATTTTACACTCTTATATTGGTGGTGCAGGAACTCTGGAGCTTAAGTGTGCAAGATTGCTCACCCCTAGGTTTAATTCATTAAGAACTGTATCACCTAGAGAGTGTCATTTAAAAATACCCCAAAACAGAGGGCTACAGTTGCTCAAGTGTGAAGACCTAAATTTGTTTCCTAAAACCCACATACAAAGCCAGGAGCTGTGGCACACAGTTGTTATCCCAGCACTTGGTGGGCAGAGGCTGGTGGACCTCTGGGGCTTACTGGCCAGCCAGCCTATCCTAATTGGGAGATCCAGGCCAGTGAGGGAGCCTGTCTCAGAAAACAAGGGGGACGGTGCCTGGGGAATGACACCCAGGTTGACTTGTGGCCTCCACGTGCACAGGCACCCACACGCACGCTCACTTGCACACCTGAGCACACACGCATCAGAGGGCAGTGGTGCCCCTTTACATCCCTGTTTCTCCGGCTTCATTTTCCTCCCAGATGGCAGATGATCAGAACTGTGTTGCGGAGCTGGAAGAAGTAGATTCTTCAAGTGAAGATGGAGTTGATGCGAAGCCAGACCGCTCCTCCGTTATCTCATCGATTCTCTGGTACGTTTTCTTCTTCGCCGCGCTCATCACCCTCCGCCATGTGGGCCTAATTCACACCTGCCGTCTCCACCCACGTGTGGGCAGGGGACATTCATGAAAGGAGGTTTGTGGTGTGTGTGTTGTGGGGGTGCTGCATAGGCTCTAGGTAACAGTAGGGACCCTCTTGCTTGGGCAGGTCCTGTAAGGACAGCCAGCACCTTTGGGGGCTTCCTGCTCACTGGCTGTGTTTGAGGGGTAATTCCCAGGAATGAAAGGCTGCTCTCATCAGGGGCGTCTTGCAGAGCAAGGTGGGGGGGCTGACGCTCGTTGGTAAGGAGCATGGCTGAAGGCAGAATTCAGGTTCTAGGAATAGCAGGTACCAAAATCACTTGCTCCTTGGGTGAAACTGGTGCCACCCCTGCTCAGGGCCTGCCTTTCCTGAGCTCACTTCATAGTCTACATCTGACATGTATGAGTAATCACATCTTCATTTATTATTGATATTACCGCTTTTAATCCATATATGTTTCAGGGAGATGGTTCCATCATTAATGCCATTTGGCAGTTAGGGAAACTGAGGCACTAAGCGGTTTCATCACTTATTTTATGATGGGTCAGTAAAATGGTAGAGTTGGGAAACTGAGGCACTAAGCGGTTTCCTCACTTATTTTATGATGGGTCAATAAAATGGTAGAGTTGAGACAGTACCAGCAACACTCACCTAACGGGTTTGTGGTGTATTTTCTACTTAGAAGGAGGGGTGGGCCAGCAAGACGGCCTGGAGGGTAGAGGCGGTAGCTGCCAGGCCTGATGACTGGCCAGTTTGTCCCCTGAACCCACGTGGTGGAAAGAACCGATTTTCCGCAAGTTGTCCTCTGACCTCCACGTGTACACAATTGTAGTTTTAAAAACATTTAAAAAGGAGGGGTTCAGGGGAGCAGAGGCACCTTGCACCTTCTTTTGACCGGGGACGTGTGAGGGTCAGCAGTAATCCCCGCTTTACCTTGTCAGGTTTCAGTGACTCATCAGCTGCGGTCTGAAAATGCTCAAAGGAAAACTCCAGAAATGAGCGACTGTTGGTTTGAGGTGCACATTGGTGGTTGTGTGGTGTGATGGGGTCTCACGTCACCCCGCTTTCCCATCCCAGATGTGTCGTCTCTGTTGAGGCTGTGGACACTGCTCACCTGTTATTTACATCTTGGTTGTCACTGGGGGTATGACAGCGCTGTATTCAGGTCACCCCTGCTTTATTTGGTGATGCCTCCAAAGGGCCGCTTCTTGATGCTGGCGAATCCAACCTGCCCAAAGGAGGGTGCACACTGAGATCTTTCTGAGTGAGAGCTCTCAGCCAGTAAGGAAACAAAAACCTGTGCTCAGGTTGCTGAACTCTGCTGTAAGAGAGGATCTTGGGGGGGGGGTGCCCCCATGCAAGCCTGAGGACCAGAATTCAAATTCCCAGAACTCATGTGAATACTGCTTACAGTGTGCGTGGTGGCCTGCCCATACTTCCAGCCTTGTGCGGCAGAGACAGGGGAATCCACAGATTGAGCTGACCGGTGAGACTAGCCACATTGTGAGCTCTGGGTTTGGTTGAGAAATCCTGCCTCATTGAAGAAGGTGGAAGAGCCATTGAGGGTAATTCCTGACTTCAACTTAGGGCTTCAGTATACACATACACACACCCCAGCATGCATCTGCTACCACACCCATGTACCCACACATGTAAACATGCATACACATACACATACAAAATGGAAAAGGGAAAAAAGAATGAATCGTCTTTTGAGAAATTGTAGAGAAGGGAGACTTGCTAGGACGCTGTCCGCTGTGCATGGTGACTTCATTGTGGTGGAAAAGGCACAGGGCAATAGGATCTGGTATTGCCATTGGTTTGGGCACCCATCAGTGGTGGGAAGGGTCCACAGTGCTGCCCAAGCCTCTCCCACTAGACACAGACAGCAGAGGGCACGCCGGCTGAGGTCGGACTCCAGTTGGTGCTCGGGAAGGGAAGAGCTGACTCACGGGCTTCCTCTCCCCACACCACAACCCTCCAGAGGCAGCTTCTGGTCACACCACCCCAGGTAGGATGTAGAAAAGTAGAACCCCACCACAGCGGGCTTGAATTTCAGTGGCTGTCATTTGAGAATAATCCACTGGAATGAGAGAGAATACATCTCCAGCTCCTGGGAACTTTCAAAAGCCAGAATTGGCCCAGGTTAACCCATTTGCCAGAGAAAGCCTCTTAGAGTAGTGGCCTTCAAGTGTTTAATGTCACATTGTAACACCACATGCTCCCTTGGACAGTTTAAGGTGACACGAATCCTTTCTTAAGACACTTGCGAAGGGTGTACTGTTTCACTTTTGAGTGTTGGAATGAAAGACAAACAGGAACTGTTTATCGGTCAGTAGGGTCTTTGGAGTGTTGTACTTGGAAGATACGAAAGGAAATAGTGTGGTAACCAGTGACACTTGAGCATCTTGTATTTAAGCGCATCCAATGGAGTCTAAACAGGAAGTGGCTTTTTAGCTGTCCTTATTCACTAGAGAGTATAAACAACACTTCGGTGGCAGAATTTTTATCTTATTTTTTTCCTCTTAAAGTTACCCTTTTTTATCCTCTCTTCCCTTCCATATTATTCTCTCAGATTTACTTACTTGAAAGTCTTCCAGTCTTCACCCCAGCATGCAGCTGTGCACACTATCCATGCATTCATGTGCACATTGTGTGCATTTGAAGACATCTTCTGTCCTCACCCCAGCATGCAGCTGTGCACACTATCCATGCATTCATATGTACATTGTGTGCATTTGAAGGGGTCTTCAAATTTTCCTGAGTATTGAAAGGAATTCACCCTCAGCTAAGTTCCTGTTTCCAATTCAGTTTCTCTAAATAAATAGTCATTAGCATTATTACCTTGTTACTCATCAAAATAAGTGCAAATTGCAAATTATCCTGAATTTGCAGGCTTTAAAAATGTTTCTTAATAAATGAAGAAACATCCTCAGTGCTGGGATGAGAAAGTCAGTACCTCTTGCTTATTTTCCATTTTTAGATATGTAAGCACTGAAGACTCATGAATAAATTTATGGGATGGAAGAACATTGGGATAGTAATGCCACTTAATTCCCGAATTCCTTTGAGCTTTGTACCAAAAATGACAACTCAGTTAGGTGCTCCCTCGTGTTCAAAGTAAAGAATTGGAAATTACCTGACTTGTTCAACCTTTGGGGACCCTCCTCCCCCAGTTTCTAGGAAGGCTATCAGAAGTCTGTCGCAGAACCCTGCCCCCCCCCCCCCAGTTGTTTCCAAGGCTTCCTTGCCTTTTACTTAGAGGCCAATCTGTGTAGCTCAGTGTTAGGAAAAGAGGCATTAGTAAGCACTCGCGACGATTCTTTGTAGTATGTGTGTGCATGTTACCGCATTAGGACCTCCAAGTTGCTAACATCACTTGTTCAGGTGTACAGGCCCTGTGTAATATAGCTTGCAAAGCCAGCTTGTCAAGCAGTTACCCACATCACACTGGCTTTCTCTCAGTAGAGTTCTGAACCCATTTTCATTTAGTAAACGTCTTATTAGACATCTGTCTTAGTGTTTCTATTGCTGTGAAGAGACTCCATGATCATGACCATGTGGTGGCTTACAGTTTCAGAGGTTTAGTTTACTATCATGGCGGGTGGCATGCAGGCAGACATGGTGCTGGAGAAAGAGCTGAGAATTCTACATCTTGATCTGCAGGCAACAGGAAGTGAACTGTCTCACTGGGTGTGGCTTGAACATATATGAACATATATGACCTCAAAGCCCACCCCCACGATGACATACTTCCTCCAAGGCCACACCCCCTTATGTGGCATTCCCTTTGGGGGCCATTTTATTTCAAATCACCACAGCATACTATGACAAGCTTCATGAATTCGAAGTTATAGTTGGATAGACATGGGAAGTCGGGAGGGAAGGAAAGAGCATGGAGCCCAGCTCTGTTTCCTCCTAATGAAAGTGCTTACCCCACCCTCCTGAGACAACCATGAGGAAATGGCTGGGAATAGTGGGGATGAACGATGCAATGTTATTAAGCCACCATCCCATTCCTGTGGCACAAATCCTAACTGGTCTTAATACTAAAAACCCGGAGTCAGATATCAAGAAAGATCAGAGAAGCAGAGCAGCCAGCCACTAGAAAGACTTATTACCTCTAGGAATCCTCAGACTGAGAGGGCCAAGCTCCTGTCTCCACCCCACATTATCACTTCCTCTCTCTGACCAGCCACATCACTTCCTGTTTTCTCCTCCCAAGTGCTGGAATTAAAGGCATGTGCTTTCCAAGTACTGGGATCAAAGGCGTGAGATCCCAAGTGCTGGGACTAAAGGTGTGTGCCACCACTGCCTGGCCTTTAGTGGCTAGCTCCACACTGATCCAGGCAAGCTTTATTTGTTAAAGCGCAAACAAAATGTCACCACACATTCCATTCTGAAACATAAATGAATGGATTTCTTCAGGGTGTTTTTCAATGTATAATTGGGTTTGGCTCAACCCTCATGCAAATCTTCTCATATTTAACAGGAAACCCCACTTGACCCCTTGTTCAGTGACTTGGGCCTTCTGCAGCATCCAAGAATGGTTCTGTCAGATACACAGTGGAGATGGGAGGATGGGGAAGGGGGGAAGGATGTGTCGTCATGTAGACAAGGTTTGGGGGACCCACACAAATGGAAGTTGAGGGTCTGGTCATGTATTTGCTTAAAGCAAATGGCCTTTGGGAAGATTGAGAATACTGCTTGAAGACCTAGACCTTGGCATAAGCCCTGGTGTTTTGCAAAATTAGACGTAGTCTGTGGTACGCCCTCTACCTTTGGCAAGCGAGCAGCTTGGGTGACCTGGTTCTGGTGCCTGTCCCTAGTCAGTACATGGCTGTCGCCAACATCAGAGTCCGTGTTATGGAAGTGAACGCTTTGGTGTCCTTGCATGGTATCTAAATTACGTGCTGTTTTTCTTAAATGCTGATTTTGTTACATGGAGTAT